ACACTGGGAAGATTGGGGCTGTGGGGAGAGCCAACATGTTCATCAAGGTGAGGAAGCATAGTGGGCAATGGCTGGGTGGGGGGAAGAGGTTGGGGGGCTCCCAGGTCACTGGTGTCTCCATGGAGAAGTCAATGGCATCTATAGGGCTGGGTTGGTAGCAAAGAGGACCTCCAGGGCTTCTTCCCCTTTGAAGATCCTAATGGAGCGTCCTCCATTGGTTGGCCAATGTTGACTCCTAGGTTGGCATTGGAGGGTCCATGATGGACATGGACGGCCCTCCACTGTTTGGGTCCTCTCCATTGGTTGAGTCCTCTCCATTGGTTGGCCAACATCGACTCAACGGGTGGTTCTGGAGGGTCCATGGTGGACATGGATGTCCCTTCCATTGGTTGGGTTTGTGGTGACGTGAACATCCCCTCCATTGGATGGCCAGCATGGACTCCAAGGTTGGGTATGGAGGGCCCATGATGGACATGGATGTCCCCCCATTGGTTGGCCAACGTTGACCCAACAGCATTGACTCTGAGGCTGCTTTGGAGGGTCCACGGTCCACACAGACATCTCTATTGCTTGGGCAATGTTGACCCAATGGAAGGCTCTGGAGGGTCCATGGGGAACATGGGTGTCTCCTCCATTGGTTGGCCAACTTGGACTCTCAGGTTAGGATTGGAGGGTCCATGAATGGACATGGACGTCCCCCCACTTTTTGGGGCCTCTCCATTGGTTGGCCAACATTGACTCAATGGATGGTTCTGGAGGGTCCATGGCGGACATGGATGTCCCTTCCATTGGTTGGCCACCATTAACCCAACAGCATTGACTCAAGGCTGCTTTGGAGGGTCCGTGGTCCTCATGGACATCTCCATTGGTTGGCCAACGTTGACCCAATGGAAGGTTCTAGAGGGTCCATGGTGAACATGGGTGTCCCCTCCATTGGTTGGCAACATTGACCCCACAGCGTTGATTCCAAGGCTGCTTTGGAGGGTCCATGGTCCACATGGACATCTCCATTGGTTGGCCAACGTTGACCCAATGGAAGGTTCTGAAGGGGTCCATGGTGAACATGGGTGTCCCCTCCATTGGTTGGCCAACATTGACCCTACAGTGTTGATTCCAAGGCTGCTTTGGAGGGTCCGTGGTCCACATGGACATCTCCATTGGTTGGCCAACGTTGACCCAATGGAAGGTTCTGGAGGGTCCATGGTGAACATGGGTGTCCCCTCCATTGGTTGGCCAATATTGACCCTACAGCATTGATTCCAAGGCTGCTTTGGAGGGTCCATAGGGACACGACCACCTCCAGCACCCCAAGAAGAGCCCTTTTGATGCCATTTCTCCATCTCCAGCCACCCAAATGTCCATCCAAACGAGGTCTTCTCCCCTTCTTCCCTTGGTTGTGTCCTACAAGGTCTTGGGCTTGAGATACCACCATGAGCAGGGTCAGTGGGTGGCTCCCTCTCATTGAAAGGGTGATGGAGGGAAGCTCTTGGCCTTCATTCAGCCCATAAGGGGTGGCTTCCTCTTCCATCATCACATCTTGGTCCTTCTTCTGTCCCCCCCCTCCCAGTACTTCGCCCCCTTTGAGCTCATCAAGTACAACGTGGACAAGGAGGAACCGGTGCGAGACGAACGAGGCCTCTGCATCCCGGTGGGCCCCGGTACGATGGGATTGGACCTTGGGAGGTGGGAAGGGGACGGAGATGCAGCAAAACCACCCCTGGGGCCTTGGCATCAGCATCTCAGGGGGTGGAGGTGAAGCCACCAGAGAGACAGGAACCAGTGGTGGGAGCAGCTTCGGAGCCTCTTTGTCCTCCCCATAGGTGAGACGGGGCTGCTGGTCACCAAGATCACCAAGGAGGCCCCATTCTATGGCTACGCCGGAGATCCCATGGAGACGGAGCAGAAGATCCTAAGGAACGTCCTGGTCCACGGTGACGCCTTCTTCAACAGCGGCGACCTCCTCATGATGGACCACGAGAAGTTCCTCTACTTCCAGGACCGCGTCGGAGACACCTTCAGGTACCTCGGGTGGAGCCGGCCTGCCCAAAGGCACCCATGGGACCCCCCTCCCACCTTCACCCTCTTCTTCTCCATAGGTGGAAAGGGGAGAACGTGGCCACCACAGAGGTGGAGGCTGCTCTTGCCATGGTGGACTTCATCCAGCAGGTCAACGTCTATGGGGTGTCCGTCCAGGTGAGCTCCTGATGGGGCTGAGGTGACCCAATGGGAGGTTCTGGGAGGGGCTCAACTACTTGAGGTGGCACCAAATGATCTCAAGGGGTCATTGAGAAGCTTGAAGGACCTCAAGGTGGACCCACAATGGCCATAGAAGGGGTTGGGGTGGATGGAAACCTTCGTGGTCTTCTATTGCCACCCACTTTGAGATGCTGCTTGACCACTTCAGGTGGCAGAGGCTCAAAGTGGAGGCGCTTTGGACCCACCAAAAGAAGAGTCGACCAAGAGCAGGCTGACTGGGGCACGTAGCGTGTCCGTACGATGGCCCAATTGACCCCAAAATGGTCAAAATAGGACTTTATGACCCCAAATCAACTTCCACCATACAGTGGGCTCCTCCATCATGGCCCAAGTGGCCTCCAAGAAGGCTGAATGAGGACTTGGGTTGCCCAAATCAAGGCTTCATTGTTATGGGCATGGACATCACCCCTACGATGGTCAATGAAGCCCCTAGGAGAAGTCAAGGCTGGGGGTGGTTGGTGGCCCCATGTTGATGTTTTGGGCATGAAGGGCCTTCAAGAAAGATGAAACCCACCCAAAATGGGTGTTTTGGGCACCCAAGTGGGCAACAGGGTAGTCGATGAGGGGGGTGGTGGTGCTGGAGGTGACCATGGGGTGTCCATAGGGTGCGAGGGGAGATGTGGCATGGCCGCCTTGTGCCTCAAGCCGGGGCACAGCTTCGATGGGCAGAAGCTCTACAGCTTCGTGGGAGGACGTGCTGCCCGGCTACGCGGCGCCGCAGTTCCTGAGGGTGCAGGTCAGTGACTGCTTGTGCATCCCCATCCATATCCATCCATCCACCATCCATCCATTCATCATCCATCCATCCACCATCCATCATCCCACCATCCATCACCCATCCATCATCATTCATCCACCATCATCATCCATCCACCATCCATCCATTCATCATCCATGCACCATCATCATCCATCCACCATCCACCCATCGCCACACCCATTCATTCATCATCCATCCATCATCACCCATCCACCATCCATCCATCCACCATCCATCCATTCATCATCCATCATCCACCATCCATCACCCATCCATCATCTACTACCCATCCACCATCATCATCCATCCACCATCCATCCATTCATCATCCATCATCCACCATCCATCACTCATCCATCATCTACTACCCATCCATCATCCATCCACCATCCATCCATCATCCACTACCCATCCATAATCCATCCATCATCATCCATCCACCATCCATCACCCATCCATCATCTACTAACCATCCATCATCACCCATCCATCATCCACATCCATCCATTCATCATCCACTACCCATCCATCACCACCAATCATCATCCATCCATCATCCATAATCACCCATCCATCATCACCAATCATCACCCATCCATATCCATCCATCACCCATCATCACCCATCCGCGTCCATGGCCATCATTCATCCATCATCTATCAATGCACCCATCATCCATAGCCATCCATCCCAACACAGACATCATCCACCCAGCCATCATCATCCATGCACCCATCATCACCCATGCATCCATCACCAACCAACCATCATCATCATCCATCCATCCATCATCATCCATCTCCATCCATCAATACATGCCCAACATGGCCATCATCCATCCATGCAACCATCTCCAACATGGCCATCATCCATCCATCTACCCATCCATCTTCAACATGGCCATCCATCATCCATCCCAACATGCCCATCATCCATCCACCCATCCATCTCCAACATGACCATCCATCATCCATCCATGCAACCATCTCCAACATGACCATCCATCATTCATCCCAACATGGCCATCCATCATCCATCCACCCATCCATCTCCAACATGGCCATCCATCATCCATCCACCCATCCACCTCCAACATGACCATCATCAATCCATCCCAACAAGGTCATCCATCATCCATCCACCCATCCACCTCCAACATGACCATCATCCATCCATCCCAACATGGCCATCCATCATCCATCCATCCACCCACCATCTCCAACATGGCCATTCATCATCCATCCATCCATCCCAACATAGCCATCATCCATCCACCCATCCATCTCCAACATGGCCATCATCCATCCATCCACCCATCCATCTCCAACATGGCCATCCATCATCCATCCCAACATGGCCAGCCATCATCCATCCATGCACCCATCCATCTCCAACATGACCATCATTCATCCATCATCCATCCACCCACCATCTCCAACATGACCATCATCCATCCACCCATCCATCCCAACATGGCCATCATCCATCCATCCATCCACCCACCATCTCCATCCCTCCCCATATCCCTGCTCCTCCCCAGAACGCTCTGGAGATCACGGCCACCTTCAAGCAGCGCAAGAGCCACTTGGTCACCGAAGGCTTCGATCCCCACGTCATCCGGGACCCGTTGTTCTTCCGCCACAAGCAGGCCAAGGCCTACGTGCCCCTGAACCCCGAGCTCCACGCCCGCATCCTGGACACGGCCCTGGCCCTCTAAGAGCCACCTCATTCCCTTCGGGAATTCCCTCGGGAGCCCCCTTCTCCTGACCCCCCTCTTCCCCTGCGCTGGGATCAACCCCCAAGCCCTCCGTGTCCAACACGACGCTCAACCAACATCCCCCCAAGGCAGCATCATCGCCTCCCTCTTTCCCACCACGCTCCGGTCGCGGGAATGACGCCGGGAACACCACCCCATATCCCAAACGCACCCCATGCCTTTTTATTCACACCCCCCCACACACACACACAGCCGAGGGGGAGGCGGCCCCATCACTGCCCCCCATCCCCATCCTCCCGCTTCACCGCCGCTTCCCTGGCATCCCAACGGCGCTCCCGTTGGAGCTCGCCGACGCGGAGCCGGAGCCGTTGCTCCCTCCTTTTGCAGGCCTGGAGCTGCCGTTGGGCTTTCCCCAGCGCCTCCAGGGCCGCCTCGGCGCGGCGCTTCCAGAGCAAGGCGTTGCCCACCTGGTAGCTGTGCTCGCTCTGGATGTAGGCCCCGAGGCGCGGGGGCAAGCGGAGCACGTAGAGGGATGGGGATGGAGGCACGGGGCCGGAGCCCGGCGCCTCCGGGGGGGGTTTGGGGCTGGGACCCCGCGCTTCCGAGGAGCCGGGAAGAGCCGCGACGGCGCCGTGGTCGCCGGCCGGAGCCGAGCCCTCGGGCTCCCCCGGGAAGCAGGAGATGGGCAAAGGGAAAGGGGGGGACGGGGGGGGGTGGGAAGAGGAGGTGGGGTCCGGGTGGGATGAGGCGGGGGTCAGGTGGGGGAAGAGGGATCCAGTTGGGATGAGATCAGTTGGGATGAGGGTGGGGTCGGATGGGAGGAAGAGGGATCCAGTTGGGATGAGGATGGGTTCAGGTGGGGGGAAGAGGGATCCAGTTGGGATGAGGATGGGTTCAGGTGGGGGGAAGAGGGATCCAGTTGGGATGAGGATGGGTTCAGGTGGGGGGAAGAGGGATCCAGTTGGGAAGGGGTTCAGTTGGGATGAGGATGGGGTCAGTTGGGAAGAGGGGTTTCGATGGGAAGAGGGATCCAGTTGGGAAGGGTTCAGTTGGGATGAGGATGGGGTCAGTTGGGAAGAGGGGTTTCGATGGGAAGAGGGATCCAATTGGGATGAGGATGGGTTTAGGTGGGAAGAAGAAGGGTCCAGTTGGGGAAGGGTTCAGTTGGGATGAGGATGGGTCCAGTTGGGAAGAGGGGTTTCGATGGGAAGGAGGGATCCAATTGGGATGAGGATGGGTTCAGATGGGACAAAGAGGGACCCAGTTGGGATGAGGATGGGGTCAGTTGGGAAGAGGGGTTCAGATGGGTTGAAGATGAGTCCAGATGGGAAGAGGGATCCAATTGAGAAGAGGATGGGTCCAGTTGGGAACAAGAAGAAGAAGAAGGCTCCAGTTGGGAAGAAGGCTCCAGCTGGGAAGGATTCAACGGGGAAAAGGATGAGTCCAATTGGGAAGAAGAATCCAGTTGGGAAGAAGAAGGCTCCACTTGACAGGAAGGATCCAATTGGGAAGAAGCTGGCTCCAAATGGGAAGAAGGCGGCTCCAATCGGGATGCAGAGGGATCCAATTGGGAAGCAGAGGGATCCAATCGGGACACAGAGAGATCCAATTGGGAAGCCGAGGGATCCAATCGGGACGCGGAAAGATCCAATTGGGAAGCAGAGGGCTCCAATTTGGGAGCAGAGGGCTCCAATGGGGACGCAGAGGGCTCCAATCGGGATGCAGAGGGCTCCAATGGGGACGCGGAGGGATCCAATGGGGACGCAGAGGGATCCAAAGGGGACGCGGAGGGCTCCAATGGGGATGCAGAGGGATCCAAAGGGGACGCAGAGGGATCCAATGGGGACGCAGAGGGATCCAATGGGGACGCAGAGGGATCCAATGAGGACGCAGAGGGCTCCAAAGGGGACGCAGAGGGGATCCAATCGGGACAATCTGGCTTCAAGCCTGGGTAGGACCAAGAGCACCCATCAAGGCTGAGGAGCACCCAAGCCAAGGTTCCCCCCCCCCAGCCCTGCCCCATAGCACTCACCTCCACCTCCGGGTGCCCTTGAGAGGCTTCAGGGGGTCAGCAGCAGGGGGGGGGCTTCACCCTGTGGGGCCGGGGGGTCACCAGGTTGAAGAGGGTGGGGACGGCGCCTTCCTTCAGGCGGTGATAACCACTGGGGGGGCACAAAGAAGGGGGTCCATGTCCATGGGGTCTATGCGGTGTCCATGGGGTCTATGGGGGGTCCATGGGGGATATGGGAGTGTCTATGGGGTCTATGGGGGGTCCATGGGGCCAATGGAGTGTCCATGGGGTCTAAGGGGGATGTTCATGGGGTCTATGGAGGATCCATGGGGTCTACGGGGGTGTCCATGGGGTCTATGGGAGGTCTACGGGGGTGTCCATGGGGTCTATGGGGTCTCCATGGGGTCTATGCAGGTGTCCATGGGGTCTACGGGGGTGTCCGTGGGGTCTATGGGGGTGTCCGTGGGGTCTACGGGGGTGTCCGTGGGGTCTAGGGGGGTGTCCGTGGGTCTACGGGGGTGTCCATGGGGTCTAATGAGGATGTTCATGGGGTCTACGGGGATGTCCATGGGGTCTACAGGGGTGTCCATGGGGTCTATGGGGCCTCCATGGGGTCTACGGGGGTGTCCATGGGGTCTATGGGGTGTCCATGGGGTCTATGGGGTGTCCATGGGGTATATGGGGGTGTCCATGGGGTCTATGGAGGCGAAAGAGGGGGGTCTAATGGGGGTGTGCATGGGCTCTATGGGATGTCCATTGGGTCTATGGGGGAGTCCATGGGGTCTATGGAGGATCCATGGGGTCTACGGGGGTGTCCATGGGGTCTATGGGGTGTCCATGGGGTATATGGGGGTGTCCATGGGGTCTATGGGGTCTCCATGGGGTCTATGGAGGCGAAAGAGGGGGGTCTAATGGGGGTGTGCATGGGCTCTATGGGATGTCCATTGGGTCTATGGGGGAGTCCATGGGGTCTATGGAGGATCCATGGGGTCTACGGGGGTGTCCATGGGGTCTATGGGGTGTCCATGGGGTCTATGGGGTGTCCATGGGGTCTATGGGTGTCTCCATGGGCTCTATGGGATGTCCATTGGGTCTGTGAGGGTGTCCATGGGACATGGAGCAAACCAATCCCATTTGGGGGGGGATGCTGATGACACTGTCACTCCCTAAGGTGGAACACCCCATTTTAACCCCAAAATGGGGGGGTGTGGGGTGAACTAAGCCATTGGGAGGTCACGGAGCAAACCATTCTCATTTGGGGGGGACTGTCACTCCCTAAGGTGGAACACCCCATTTTAACCCCCAAAAAGGGGGGTTTGGGGGGGGGAGGCACTGTCTCTTCCTAAGGTGGAACACCCCATTTTAACCCCCAAATGGGGGTGAACTAAGCCATGGGGGGCACACGGAGCAAACCATTCCCATCTGGGGGGGGGCACTGTCACTCCCTAAGGTGGAACACCCCATTTTAATCCCCAAATGGGGGGTGAGGGGGGTAAACTAAGCCATTGGGAGGACATGGAGCAAACTATTCCTATTTGGGGGGGGCACTGTCACTCCCTAAGATGGAACACCCCATTTTAATCCCCAAATGGGGGGTGAGGGGGGTAAACTAAGCCATTGGGAGGACATGGAGCAAACTATTCCTATTTGGGGGGGGGCACTGTCACTCCCTAAGATGGAACACCCCATTTTAATCCCCAAATGGGGGTGAGGGGGGTAAACTAAGCCATTGGGAGGACATGGAGCAAACTACTCCTATTTGGGAAGGGGGGGGGGGGGGCACTGTCACTCCCTAAGGTGGAACACCCCATTTTAACCCCCAAAAAGGGGGGTTTGGAGGGGGGGGGGCAGCACCTGAAGCCCACGATCTCGAAGCAGCTCTTCTCGAAGTGCTGGGAGCAGAAGTAGATGTACTTGGAAGCGGGATCCCAGAGGCCTTCTTTCCCCCATGGTCCCCAAGTGTCCTTTCATGTGTGTCCGTCCCCCCCCACCCCTTGTCCTTCTTGGGGAGCCTTGGGGTGGGGGGGGACGGACACACATGAAAGGACATTGGGGACATGGGGGGGGGGGACACACACACATCCCAGGGTTCACATTCCTGCTTTCTGGAAGGGTGGAAGGGGGCACCCCCCCCCTCCAAAGTGGGAATGGGAGGGTCCGGGTAGGGTGAGGTAAAGGGAGTGGGGCTAAACCATTGTGGGGATGGGGGGAGCAGGGGGAAAGCACTGATAAGTGGGGGGACCATGTGTGCCCCCCTTGATAAAGGGGGGGCACCCATGGGATCCATTGATAAAGGGGGACGCACATGGGATAACCCATTGATAAAGGGGGGGACACATGGGATAACCCACTGATGGGGGGGGGGACATGGGGTAACCCATTGATAAAGGGGGGGGGCACATGGGATAACCCATTGATAAAGGGGGGGGCACAAGGGCATGGGATAGCCCATTGATAAAGGGGGGACACATGGGATAACCCATTGATAAAGGGGGGGGCACATGGGATAACCCATTGATAAAGGGGGGGGCACATGGGATAACCCATTGATAAAGGGGGGGGCATATGGGATAACCCATTGATGGGGGGGGGAACAGATGGGATAACCCATTGATAAAGGGGGGGACACATGGGATAACCCATTGATAAAGGGGGGGGCACATGGGATAACCCATTGATAAAGGGGGGGGGCACATGGAATAACCCATTGATAAAGGGGGGGGCACATGGGATAACCCATTGATAAAGGGGGGGGGCACATGGGATAACCCATTGATAAAGGGGGGGGGCACATGGGATAACCCATTGATAAAGGGGGGGACACATGGGATAAGCCATTGATAAGGGGGGGGACACATGGGATAACCCATTGATAAACGGGGGGGGGGCATATGGGATAACCCATTGATAAACGGGGGGGGGGCATATGGGATAACCCATTGATGGGGGGGGGGGGGGCACCCACCGGTGGAAGGAGATCCCACGGCTCCGGGTCTCCCGCGTGTCCCGAGTGCAGCAGCCAATGGCAGAGCAATGGCGTGGCATCTGGGGGGGGTAAGGGGGGAATGGGGGGCCAAAAGGGGGTAAATGGGGGGGAATGACAGAAAATGGGGGTAAATGGGGAGAAATGGGGGAGAAATGGGGTAAATGGGGGAGAAATGGGGTAAATGGAGGGTAAATGCAGGTAATGGGGGGGGTAAATGGGGGTAAACAGGGAAATGGGTTAAATGGAGGGGAATGGGGGAAATGGGGGGAGAAATGGAGTAAATGGGTAATAAATGGAGATAAATGGGGGGAATAGAGGGGAAATGGGGGGGAATAGAGGGGAAATGGGGGGAAATAGAGGGGAAATGGGGGGAAATAGAGGGGAAATGGGGGGTAAATGTGGATAAATGGGGGTAAATGCAGATAATCAGGGGAATAGGGTGTAAATGGGGGGTAAATGGGGGTAATGGGGAGACATGGGGAAATGAGGGGGTCAATGGGAATAAATGGGGGACAAATGGGGTAAATGGGTAATAAATGGAGATAAATGGGGAAATGGGGGAAATAGAGGGGAAATGGGGGGAAATAGAGGGGAAATGGGGGTAATGGGGTGTAAATGTGGATAAATGGGGGGTAAATGCAGGTAATCGGGGGATATGGGGGCAAATGGGGAGAAAGAGGGGCAAATTGCGGGAAATGGGGGTAAATGGGGGAAATGTTGAAATGGGGGGTAAACAGTGGTAAATGCGGATAAATGGGGGTAAATGGAGGTAATGGGGGGTAAATGGGGGCAAATAGGGGGGAAAGGGGGGGAATGGGAAGTAAATGGGGGGAAATGGGGGCACGGGGTAAATGGAAGGGAAATGGGGCAAAATGGGGGGGTAAACAGGAGGAAATAGGGGGCAAATGAGTGGGAAAGGGGGGGTAATGGGGGGTAAAAAGAGGGGGCAGAAAGGGGGTAGAAAAGGGGGGGTAAAGGAAGCGGGGGGGGGCCGAGATGAGTCACCCACAGGGGACACCCCCCACAATCAATGCCCCCCCCATAAAGCACCCCCCAACCCCAAAGGACCCCCCCAGACCCCCATAGACCCCCCTAAATGCCCCCCCCAGCCCCATAAGTGCCCCCCTCCCCCCCCAAATGTCCCTTTGATGACGTCACGGAACCCCCAGCTCATCGCGCCCCCACCCCCCCCCCCCGGGTTTGGGGGTGCCAATGACGTCACAGGGGAGCATGTGACGTCACGGCGGGGGGGTCCCCCCCCTGACCCCGAACCCACCTCGGCGCTCCCATCCCGCCACCTCCGGCCCCCGCCCGCAGCTCTCGCGAGACTCCCTGCTCTCGCGAGAGCCGGGCCCGCCCCCTTCCGTTTCTCCCTTCCCAGCCTCTCATTGGCTGAGCCTCCGGCACGGGGGCGTGGCTCCGCCGGTCCCCGTGGTCCCGCCCTCCTCATTTGCATAAAGCGATGCCATTGGCAGAGAGGGACACGCCCCTTCTTTTGCCCCCGCCCCTTCGCCGCGGGCGTTTCAACGCGCCTCGCCCAACGGTTTTGGGGTGGTTTAAGGCGTTTCCGCCCCGTTTTTGGCCGTTTCGAGGCGTTTCCACCCCCGTTTTTGGCCGTTTCGCGGCGTTTCCGCCCCGTTTTTGGCCGTTTCGCGGCGTTTCCGCCCCAGTTTTGGCCGTTTCGAGGCGTTTCCGCCCCAGTTTTGGCCGTTTCGAGGCGTTTCCGCCCCGTTTTTGGCCGTTTCGAGGCGTTTCCGCCCCGTTTTTGGCCGTTTCGAGGCGTTTCCACCCCCGTTTTGGCCGTTTCGAGGCGTTTCCACCCTGTTTCTGGCCATTCCAAGGCGTTTCCACCGCTGTTTCGGCCCTTCCAAAGCATTTCCACCCCTGTTTTGGTCGTTTTGAGGCGTTTCCACCCCAGTTTTGGCCGTTTCGATGAGTTTCCATCCCATTTTAGGGCGTTCCAAAGTGTTTCCAGCCCAGTTTTGGCCATTTTCAGGCGTTTCCACCCTGGTTTTGCCCGTTCCAAGGCATTTCCACCCCAGTTTTGCTCGTTCTGATGCATTTCCACCCCAGTTTAGGCTGTTTTGAGGAGTTTCCATTCTGTTTTAGTGTCCTCCAAAGCGTTTCCACCCTGTTTTTGGCCATTTCGAGGTGTTTCCACCCTGGTTTTGGCCGTTTCAAGGTGTTTCCACACTGGTTTTGCCCGTTCCAAAGCATTTCCACCCTGGTTTTGGCCGTTCCAAAGTGTTTCCACCCTCGTTTTGGCTGTTTCAAGGCATTTCCGCCCCAGTTTTGGCAGTTTCGAGGCATTTCCACTCCGGTTTTGGCCATTTCAAGTAATTTCCACCCCGCTTTTGGCCGTTTCGAGGTGTTTCAACTCTGGTTTTGGCCATTTCAAGGCATTTCCACCCTGGTTTTGGCCATTTCGAGGCGTTTCCACGCCATTTTTGGCCATTTTAAGGCATTTCCTCCCTGTTTTAGGACGTTCCAAGGCATTTCCACCCCTGTTTTGGCTGTAACATGGCGTTTCCATCCCATTTTTGGCTGTTCTAAGGCGTTTCCACCTTGTTTTGGCCGTTTTGAGGCATTTCCACCCCTGGTTTTGGCCGTTTTGAGGAGTTTCCACCCTGTTTTAGGGCATTTCACCTCCTCCCCTCCCTGTTTTAGGGCATTTCCAGCCCCCCCCCCCCCCCCCCGATTTTTGATGTGTTTCAGATCCTTCCCTCCCCCCATTTTGGAGGGGTTTCAATGCCCCCCACGCCATTTTAGGGCATTTTAAGGCCTCCCACCCTCCATCCAGGGGCTCTTCAGGGCTCCCCCACACTATAAGGGGTTGAGGGGTGACCAAGATGCCCCCTCCAGTTGGCACAAAGGCAGTTTCAGGGTCCCATCCTCAACGTTTTAGGGTGTTTCAAGCCCCCCCCCCAGGCTTCTGAATCCTCCCCCAAAGCCACCGGGGGGCAGAACCAATTGAAGGCACTTTAATGACTGTATATACACACATACATATGTAATGACCCATTGAACCCTGCCCTGATGCTTGAAGCGGGGGGGGTTTGGGGGCAGTTTCAAGGGTCCAGGGGGGGGAACTCCTTGTCCTCACTGCTGTCCCCATCGCTGTCCCCATCACTGTCATCGGTGTCCTCATCCTCCCCCCGCAGCATCCGGCGCACGGTGCGGGACAGCGTCAGTGGGTCACACCTGGGGGGGGGGGGGGGGGGCCGCCATCCCATAATACCCCATATAGACCCCCTCCATTCCATAATACCCCATACATCCAGCATTATCCCATAATACCTCATATAGATCCCCCCCACTATCCCATAATACCCTATGTAGGTGCCCCCACTATCCCATAATACCCTATGTAGACCCCCCATTATCCCCTAATACCCCATGTAGATCCCCCCATTATCCCATAATACCCCATATAGACTCCCCCTCTATCCCATAATACCCCATGTAAACCCCCATTATCCCATAATACCTCATATAGACCCCCCACTATCCCATAATACCCCATATAGACCCCCCATTATCCCATAATACCCCCTGTAGCCCCTCCCATTATCCCATAATACCCCATATAGACCCCCACTATCCCATAATACCTCATATAGACCCCCCACTATCCCATAATACCCCATATAGACCCCCATTATCCCATAATACCCCATATAGACCCCCCACTATCCCATAATACCCCATATAGACTCCCCCCCCATCCCATAATACCCCATATAGACTCCCCCCCCCATCCCATAATACCTCATATAGACCCCCCACTATCCCATAATACCCCATGTAGACCCCCCATTATCCCATAATACCCCCATGGGGTGCTATAGGGAGCCCATAGGGTGCTTTAGGGTGCTATAAGGAGCCCATAGGGAGCTACAGGGTGCTCTGTGGTGCTATAGGGTTCCATAGGGTACCATAGTGTGTCATAGGGTGCTATAAGGTGTTACAAGGAGCCCATAGGGTTTCATAGGGTGCTATAGGGCTCCATAGGGCTCCATAGGGTGTCATAGGGTGCTATAAGGAGCCCATAGGGTTCCATAGGGTACCATAGGGTGGCATAGGGTGCTATAGGGTGTTATAAGGAGCCCATAGGGTTTCATATGGTGCCACAGAGCTCCGTAGGGTTCCATAGGGTGCCATAGGGTGTCATAGGGTGCTATAAGAGCCCATAGGGTTCCATATGGTGCCATAGGGTGTCATAGGGCTCCATAGGATGATATAAGGAGCTCATAGGGTTCCATAGGGTGCCATAGAGCCCTGTAGGGTTCCATAGGGCTCCAGAGCTTGCCATAGGGTGCCATAGGTTTCTATAGGGTGATCTAAGGAGCCCATAGGGCTCCATAGGGCACTATAGGGTGCTATGAGGAGCCCATAGGGTGCGCTCCATAGGGTGCCATAGAGTTCCATAGGGTGCTATAGGGCTCCATAGGGCTCCAGAGGTTGCTATAGGGCTCCATAGGGTGCCATAGGGCTCCATAGGGTGCTATAGGGCTCCCTAGGGCTGCGGGGTCCCACCTGAGCCTCGCTCTCAGGGCAGTCACGTGACGCGCGGTGGCCGCGGCCCCGTCCCCGGCGGCCTCGAGCTCCTGGCGCAGGCGCCAGCCCTGGGCTTGGTCACGTGACGTCCCCACGGCCACCGCGGCCACGCGCTCGGCCACAGCGCGGCACATGACCTCCAGGGCCTGCGCCTGCGGGGACACGTGAGGTCACGTGACAACACGTGGTGACACGTGATGACACATGGTGACACTCGGCGACGCATGAGGTCACCTGATGTCACCTGAGAAGACGTGACATCACATGACGACACAGAACACCACGTGATGTCACATGATGACGTATGATGACACGTGGTGACGCGTGATGACATGATGACTCAGGATGACACATGATGTGACATGGTGGCATGTGATGACATGACAACACGTGGTGAGACATGATGTAACATGATGACATGTGATAACATGTGATGACACAGCATGACACGTGATATCACATGACGACACATGATGATAGTGATGTCACACAACAACACACGATAACACGTGATGACACAGCACGACATGTGATGTCACATGACGACACCTGGTGACACGGAATGTCACACAACAACACACGATAACACGTGATGACACAGCATGACACACGATTTCACATGACGACACATGATGTCACACAATGACACATGATGACAGTGATGTCACAAAACGACACACGATAACATGTGATGACACAGCACGACACGTGATGTCATGTGACGACACAAGATGACACATAACGTGATGAAACAGCACAACACATGATGTCACATAACGACACATGGTGACACGTGATATCACACAACGACACACGATAACACGTGATGACACAGCATGACACGTGATGTCACATGACGACACATGATGACACACGACACACGATAACACGTGACAGCACAGCACGACACGTGATGTCACACGACGACACACGATAACACGTGACGACACAGCACGACACGGGATGTCACATGACGACAGATGATGACAGTGATGTCGCATGACACATGATAACACGTGACGACACAGCACGACACACGATGTCACATGACGACACATGACGTCACACGACACACGATAACACGTGACGACACGGCACGACACGTGATGTCACGCGACGACACATGACGACAGGGATGTCGCACGAGGACCCGTGACGACACCGGTGACGTCAGCGCTGACGTCACAGGCGCCCCGCCCTCACCTGCAGCCGGTACCGCTCCCCCCGCAGCCGCTGCTCCTGCAGCTCCCCCCGCAGCGCCCGCAGCCGCCTCCGCGCCGAGCGGGCCGAGCGCAACAGCGCCCCCCGCGCCCTGCAGGGGAACAGCACCCAGGGGATAACGGCACCCATAGGGGTAACACAGCACCCATAGGGGTAACACAGCACCCATAGAGATAACACAGCACCCATAGAGATAACACAGCACCCACAGGGATAACACAGCACCCATAGAGATAACACAGCACCCATAGGGGTAACACAGCACCCATAGGGGTAACACAGCACCCATAGAGATAACACAGCACCCACAGGGATAACACAGCACCCATAGAGATAACACAGCACCCATAGGGGTAACACAGCACCCATAGGGGTAACACAGCACCCATAGAGATAACACAGCACCCATAGGGGTAACACAGCACCCATAGAGATAACACAGCACCCATAGGGGTAACACAGCACCCATAGAGATAACACAGCACCCACAGGGATAACACAGCACCCATAGAGATAACACAGCACCCATAGGGGTAACACAGCACCCATAGGGGTAACACAGCACCCATAGAGATAACAC